CTGCTTTCTTTGTCCCACCATTCTTGGAATTCTTGTTCGGCTTGGATGTCTTGCAGGTTGTGTTTGGCTGTTGCTGCCTCGCGGATTTCGTCTTTTTCGGTTTGTTGTTGCATGAGGATCGTGGCTAGGGAGAGGGAGTTGGGGGAGGGCGAGGTGAAGCTGGTTTGGTATGGTTCTGGACGGGGGATGTGGCGGACTGATTGGATCGCGGGTCGAGGCTGGGGTTGTGGGGTTGCTGGTGGGTTGGGGGGTGGCGCTGTTGATGGGCCTGAGATGGAAGGTTTGGAGGGAGTCTGTGTGTTGGTGGTAGAGGCTTTGCGGTTCTGGATTTGCACAGGTGGTGTTCCTGGTTTTGATGGCGGTGGTGTCCCGGCGACGGTTTGACGGAGGGTCATGGAGGGCGCCTTGGGGGTTGATTTGACTGAGCCGGAGGTTAGGTTGTCTTGTCCGTCGGTGGCTCCTAATGGGATCGGCTTTGTGGGTGTGGCCGTCTTCCATGGGTTTTGGGGTGGTTCTTTGGCTTTTTTCTGAGCAGCGAGCATCTCTTGCATTTGTTGTTGCTGGATCTTCTTGCGCTCCTTTTGGGATAGTTTTGGAGTGAAGTTGTTGCTGTTGTTGCTGTTGCTTTCCCGAGGGGCGGAAGACATGCCTAGACTGAGATTCGACACGCGGGTTTCTGATGCTTCGTCCATGATGTCTTTTAGATTTTTCTTGGAGCCTGAAACCACTGATGCACTCCACGGCTGTTGAGAGACGTCTGGTGGAGTAAGAGAACCGTTCTTTTTCCCGTTCAGCGCACTAGCTCGTAGTTCAGTTGGAGACGCTGCAAGTATAGCATCTTGTGGGGATGCCATTTGATCATCCAGGTAGCTTCGGCCTTCCAATGATCCTCCCTCTGTTAGACTAGACCCCAAAGCCGGTGAGTCAGGGTATGAGCGCGAGTCATTGGCATCATTTGGTTTGACCCCACGGACTGCCATCTTTCCTTTAATATAGTCTCCCGGTGTGAGCAAATTCTCGTCATCCATTTGGAACATCAGGTCGCCGATTGAATGCTGGGGCCTCAATGATGGGCTACGTGACGTGGCAGCTGAGGCCCCCTTAGTAGGCGTCTGGTGTGCTTTCTGTCCCGAAGGTGCTGAAGGCGTGAGTGTTGCTCGAAGCTTTCCTTCGTTCGTCTCAATCTGGCTGACATGTGACCGAAGTCTCATGGAATCAATCTTCCTCCGCCGGTCTCTTTCTACCAAGGATACAAGCTCAGGGTACTTTTCAAAGACATATTCTTCGGAGTTGCGCCCTCGTGACACCGGGAAGCTTGAAAGCTGGTTCTCGTGACAAACAGAATCAAGCGCACCCAGCAAGAATTCATCGAGATCCTCCAAATATCTAGGACAACGTCAGTAGCCAGGAATACTTCAGTGAGGTCCCCAATCCTACCTATTAGAGAGTAGATCTTCCAAATTCAAGCAAATATACTCCAATGCAGCATCTTTGAATTCCGTCACACAGCAAGGCGCAGTGGCGTTGAGGAGATGACACACATTACGTGTGGTTACTAGCTTTCGTTAGCGATTCGACCAGTACACAGATTAGAAGGGGCTGGAACTCAACATACCGAACCTGCCAAGCATCTTCTGACAGATTTGACCCAATCGGTCAATCATCAGCTCATTTGCCACGAATGCAACATCAAGCACTAGGTCAATGAATTCCTCCAGGTCATTCGTTCGAACTTGGTCGAAAAGTTGCTCCTCCGTATCTGCATACATATACCGAAGCACAAACTCAAATACATGCCGATCAATATGCTTTAGATCCACGTATATATCGTCAGTTGGATCTATACGGCGGGAGGAAAGCCACCTGCCACCTGAACGACCACGGAACAAGGCGTCGAAAAACGGACATCTTTGGCAAATAACTTGGCTGTGAGCCCTCATAGTGCCGTTTTTCAACTCAACGATCACATCACCACTGTCAAAGAACGTGATATCATTGATCGCACGTTCCATATCTGACTTCAGAGCCATTGCAGGCTCAATCATTAACCTGGCAGATCTCTCCAAACTAGTAAGGCCCAGGCTAGTGGCAACACGCATCACTTCAGAGCGGACCTGACGATATCTAGATGCATTTTCCGGTGTATGTTTGGCTAGCTGCCACACTTCGAAAATATTGTCTGTGTAAGAGTAGAAAGCGAGATTCAGAAGAGTCAAGAAGTCAACGCCTTGGAGTTGAAGCTGTGCATATCCTTCTCCGTCGTAGTTGATCGTAAGCACATCAGGAATGGAGAAGGATTGTGCATGCCGTAGATCATGGAATGCCTTTCTCAAAACCGGGCTGCGCCCTGTCAGGATGAACTCGTGCACAGGTATACGTATGTCAGAGGTTGTGGTCATGACCCATACTGTTCCGGGGAAGCGCCCGGTCTGTAGCGGTCGGAAATAGGACTCGACATCTGACTCTGACATGATGGCCTTCTTGATATTGATGACAGGCTCTGAGTCCAACACACTGTCTTGATCAGTGGCAACAGAGCCTAATACAGAGTTGAAAGGTGAGAGTGGGAACATATCTTTCCACAGTGTGCTTTGGTCGATGTTAATTTGCTCCCTGGTAACATCACAGTTCCGTTGCACGGTTGCGAAAGCTCCAAATGCATTGCTACATACGCTCACAACTCGAGAAAGTCCAGGGACGCGGACAAACTTGTGGTCTTTCGATGAACTATCCTTCGCTTTCCCCCGCTTTTCTTTCCTCCAGGCCGATCCAGAAGCCGTGCAAATGATGATCGAGCCATCTTGTCCAACATCGACGTCTCTGACAGCCATGTGCGCCTTCTTCACAGACCACACTCGAGCCGGTGTAGATAAAGAGTTCCGTATTTTAGCTGGGTTTGTAGTAGAAGTCGAACTCGGTGGGTTCTCCGTCCTGTTGACTTGTACTGTGAAGACTTCACCAGAACTGGACAACGCACATATGGTATTTCCACCGGACGTTACTTTAATAATACGATTGACGGAAGTGTCGTACCGGGTAGACATGAAGCTGTTCCTAATGAAACTCGAGCTGATATCTAATGGGAAAGACAGTCTTGAGTAGCCATACTGTGAAAACACCCAAACCTCATGGTTCTGGAGGAGAATGGCCGTGGCTTGGTCAATAGCGGACACGCTCTGGATTGGAGCACTAAAAAGAGACGCTCCGACACGCCGAGGGGTCGTCTGAGTTTCAAGAGATCGGGCATCTGAGTCGACAAGTCCAAGCTGACCTTCATTCTTACCAAAAGTATAAAGACCAAAGTTGCTGAAAACGACTGAATGTATCGCAGATGCTGCAGCTCCAAGAATGGTCTCCTTTTTGAACGGGTTGAATATCTGTCGTGGAGTCTTCTGCATTGGCACATCGTCTCGGTTGTTGGTTCTTGGAAGGCCATAACCTAATTGACCAAACTTGTTACTTCCCCAGCTGAATATCTCGCCGTTCTCTGTAATTGCGAGAGTGTGATCCTGGCCAAGGGCAACAGAAATAACCCTCTTGCTGGCCAACCCTCCGGTCTCAACGCAGACAAAGCTGAACCGTGTTGACTCATCGCCGGTACCTAAGCGCTCCGGGGCCGAAGCCGCACATGAACAGGTTCGACTCTGGATCGTTAGTGAGAATGGCTGTATGCAGCTTGGACATGGCAACGTTCTGAATTTTGATAGGTTTGTTCTTGATCAATGCTGGCAAATCCGTGACTCCGCGCAATTGTTGGAGATTTGAACTCCCTTCATCCAACTGCTGCTCTCGGAATTCGGAAAAGAACCGCTGCAGAAGGTGACCTGGACGTTGGAAAGTTATTCTCTCGGGATACTGGCGGTCGTCCTGGTCCCCCACACCAAGATTCAGGTTCTTATTGCTCCCAAACGTAAATACTTCGTCACCTAGTACATTTGTTCTCGGTTTTAGCGCTCGCTTTGCAAAATGACCATCTTCGTCGAAATCGTCAGGCTCTGAGGATGCAATGGAGGCAGTGTCCGCATTGTCAAGATCGGCGAGACTTAGACCATTCGCTGTCAGAGAGACAATACTCTTGATGTCACGAGATGCAATTGTAGCTCCATATACATCAAAGGGGCTGTACCCTTCTCGGTCTTTAATTTTTATCAAGGTGCCACTCGCGTTGTTTATATTTCCCGATTTACTAAAGTCCGTTGCATCACGCACATCGCGAGTCAGTAACGCTTGGGCAATAGCGGCATTGCCCGCATACAAAGCCCGGTGCAGCGCTGTCCACCCACTCTCCCAATCTTGTGCATATATGTCAATGAAAGGCACCTCGAGTAAAGCCACAGCAAAGTCGGTCGCAGTAGGTTTTGTCGACGAAGCCACAAGGTGGAGTAGTGTTCTGCCGAGTTGATCACGAGCATTCAATTCCTCCCGAGATAATGGCCTTCCACTCCGAGGTGTATTGCTTCGATCCGGGACCGGACTTCCTGGCGACGTTCCGCTCAATTTTTTGCTTTTGAGAGAGAGACCAGTGGAGGCTATCGTACCCCCAGGGCTTCCGATCTTGAAATTAGACGATCCGCTAGGTCCTGAAGCCCGCTGGCTACCGGAGGTATAGCTGGCAGTTGCCAGAACCCGCCGGAAGCTATCAACGTCATCGCGCAAAAATAACTCCCAAAGCTTGCTACTCATGTGCCTCAAGTTGTAATGTGTCAGAATCTCTTATCAGCCGAGGACCAGAACGTCGTGTTCACCACAGAGGGTTCACGGCGCACCGGAAGAGCTCCGCGGGACAACAAGAGTATTCTGACAGGAGGAAGAGAAGGAGTCGACAGTCGTCAACGCGTAGTCGTAGTCTCGGATTGTAGTCGGAGGATGATATACACCAACACAATAGCCGTATCGAAGGGAGAGGAGACGATGCGAAGGAGTATTAGAGCGCGTCGTAAAATGAACGATATGCGGTGGCGATGACAGCTCTGTATTATCTCCGAGCCTCGGACGTGAGGGGAAAGGAACTTTCAGCGCGATCGGTTCGATTCGCCAACGGGACGCGACAGCAAGATCGATGCAGAGGAGTGAATTCGAGCAGCGATGGAAGCGATTCCCGTGGGTATATTCCTAGAGGGATTTTGCTCTTCTTTGAGTCTGATAGTGCTGTCACGGGATTTGAAGGATGACTGACCCATGGATTGGAGGGATAATCGGACAGCGTCCAATCGGGCGGCGCGCACCCCTCCATGCGCGCCGACGAGAGGTTGAGGGACGACCGCGCTTCCAACTTGAACTATGAAACCCCTCACCCGACTACATCCATGCCTTCCTTCGTTTCCGGGCCCAAACGGTCTTGATGATGGGAACTATGGAATTAAGCTTCGGGTTTCAAATGCAACCCTAAACCCATGCTGGAATCTGTACAGTCTTCCTAATGTCCGAAACAATGGGGTCTAAAACCATCTGGGCGTCCACCACAGGATACCTAGTAGGTAAACAGCCCAGTGCACCTCTGTATACTCATACACAGGATACTACTTCGTCGGGCGGCCAAAATCGATCGCCGGATCTATGTTCACCATCAACAGTGGAATAGCCGGACAATCAGTGATGCCTGTGTGACTCGAGCAATTATGGAAGAAAAGATCTGCCTAAAAATGAACCATCCAACTAGGGCTCAATGCAAAAATACAAGGGAAAATGTATATAAAATCCAAAAATAAAAAAGAATGGGAGTGCAAGGATGCGAACCCTGGCCTTGTGAGAAGAGTCACATATCCTACCACTGGACTACACTCCGCTACTCTTATTTGAAGGTTAAAAGAAACCAGGGAAGCTAAGTAGCTAAACAATAACATAATAGCTGAACGCGAAGCGCTCTGCTATGATTGCACATATTGAGTAGTTCTATAATTCTCATATCCAATCCCACTCATAAGGTTACCACGCTATGAACGCGACATTCATTCTGTTAATGGCATCGAACAAACATATGTGTATCTTTGCTCTGAAATATTGCGCCACTTGTTTGGATATCAGCCACTAGCCCCAGTCACACTACTCTCAATATGCTGTATGTACATGTGGATAAAAGATCATGACTATATCAGACCTAGTCCAATCCCAGGTGCCTAAGTGGGTACCATAGCTCTGCAGATGAGTTTGTCTCATCACTTCACCACTTTATCTCAGACTCAGAAGACTCAGAGCCGCCTCATTCGCCCAATTACTTCCTCTAAGTAACATGTGGGCGGCAAAAATATCGCCTTCTGGGGACAAAGAGATCGAACGGGAAAGGAAAAGAAGAAGAAATTAGCCATAGGCGAAGACCCTACTCATATTTGGTCTAGACTGTACGACGGTGTGGGTGGAATACTCCCCATTGTGCATAGCGATACCCTTGGCAGTGGCCTATGTGAAGGGTCTCATTTAGACCTTCCGTCTATATTAATGATTGGCCAAAGGGGGCTTTTTTAGCTGATAGGACGGGCCTATAATCTGGGTAGCATGTTTCTATTCCAGGTACAATCTATCTCGAGCTATACGGATGGTTAATATAATGCCCAAGGATCTGTCACTATGGAGAGCAAGTTGGTTTTTTATGGTGGGTATTATCGAATGATAAACTGGATTAGGGATTCCTATATGGCTTAAAAATTATATGGAGAAAGAAAGGATTTCGTGGAAGAGACAGAATACAGATGGCAAAATGAAAAATGAAAAAGAAAATTTAATAAAAGAAAATATTGAACGAGGAGGATAGATCCAACGAGGGGATAACCCCAAAGAGCGTGCACGCACCCGACAAAGATACGATAGTCTATTTGGTACTGAACAGTGTCCATACCATGATGTATAATAGCACTGTTTATAGGCATACATCTGCATTCCTATCACCAGCTGGCGCCAAACAACAATGACCAAGTCTTTCTGCATTGTCGGAAGAAATCGACTGGCCAACTTTTGTTCCAACGCGATCAGAAATAATACCTGCGGAGCAGAGCCTAGACTGGAGTACTCCGTATTAGAGACGCCATCAAGACAAGAGGTCCCCTGCAAGGTCGCTTAAGATAGTATGCTTCGCTGCAGGCCTTGCAGTTCCGGTGCATGGAGCTTGTCGCACATTGTAAGCCAGACCAATTTCTACCACTAAGCTTTCAGAATGAGCAACCAAGTAACACAACATCGAGTCTGTGCTTCGGTCGGCTATAGGCTGAGTGATTCCTCTGTAAATTTCCTTCCCCACCGCCCATGAAGCTGTTGCAGGTGAGGCGACCATTCCCAGAAGCTGGGGGGTGGTGGTCTATGCTCTGTTTTCGTCGACCGTTCCATTATTGGTACATGACACAGACACGATGGAGAGTGGAAAAGTCGATCATGAATTAAATCCTCCTACTTGAACGTTCTACACCTTAATCCTGTGAAAGTAAAAGTCAAAAAGAGAGAGAGAAGAAGGGAAAAAGCAAAAGCAAAAGTAAAGTGACCGAAAACAAAGAGCTGAGGACGGAAAAAGAAATAAACAAATAAATTAAAAAGCCAGAGATAAGAACCTAACAAATCGAATAAGTCAAAATTAAAATGAAAAAAAAAGGAAGTGAACAAGACAGGGGGGAAAGAACACGAAATCCGCACAGAAAGCAACCCTACTATCAATGAGGGTCCATTATCACGGGGGTGGTTGTTGATTAAGTTGACTGATCGACCTGCGCAAGCGGCAATTTCTGGAGCTCTCATCATACTTTCCATTGGACTGCCGCCTCAATATTGAGTCAGGTATCGTAATTCAAGGTTGAATTGACGAACCTCCCTACACTGGCGACTTGTGGTTTTCGTATTTATTACTCATAAGGTATCATTATCGATTAAGGGTTAATTTAAGAGCGAGACACGTACGTCTGTTTAGTTCGTTAGGTAGCAATAACACACCGAGTCATATTGATACCTTGTATCCTACTGCCAGTTGTCAGGACATCATTGTTAGGTCGATAGAAGATAGAAGGATGATTTCATGAGAATCAGTATCCACCTGACTGTTTTCATACGGTCCAGTTGGGGCAATCATACCGACAGGATACCGCCTCCAGTAGTAGCTGCAACGCAACCGCGACTTATCGCTTGACCGCCTTCTAACGCCCTGGTTTATCCTACCAGCGACTTCCATTGTCATTGGCCGCGATTGATGCTTAACCACTCCTTCAACTGTACGACCCCCGTAAGTAAGTTGTTCTAAAAGCAGTTTCGAGAGAAACTGGGAATTAAAAATATCCCTTACTGGCAACTAGTCACTCGACAACTGAATAATTGTTGAATTGTCTTTGGTAAAGAATGCCGTGGCACTTGTCAGCCTGACCGTGGGCTTTACTTTGCACTTGACCTGGGGGTGGATTGCTCATGAACCACCCGAGTCACCGGGTGTGCGTCACAGACCTCTTTGCTCCCGTGCCGCCGCCGCCGTTGTTGCTGTGCCTCACATATCTGTTAGCGCATTACACGCCTTTTACCTTGTCTCTCCGTTTCATCTCTCCTTCCGTATCCCTCCCCCAAAAAAAACCATTATTGTAATTCCCTCTTCCCCTACCATATTTCTCTCCTAAACCTTTCGAATCCAGTGTATTGGTGACTATGAATCCTTAAATTACCTTATTCTCCCACGACGTGAGGACGCCGTGCAACCCCCCGGATCTGCCTTGTCGTCAGTGCGGAGAAGCTCACAAGGTTGTCTAGACCGCATGCTCTTCAAGTGTGCCAGCATCCTGTTGCCTGAGCACAAAGTGCGATGAAATCAGCCTCCGTTAATTTGATTTGGAACGTACCTAAACTGTCCGGAATTTATTCCCTTAGCGTCTTTCCTAACCCTGAACCTCTGGCTGTGTAGTTCGTTAGCATGGCCGTCCGCATCGTATCAGTCGCCCCCCATTACCTTCTTGATCGAGACAATCGCCCTGCCATAGCTCTGAATTCGATTTCGGCTTTGGAAGGACTACATTGAGTATCCTGTTCTCACTTGCGTTGTGTCGCAGAAGGATCATGCATCAACATCCTCGGTCGCCGGCGCCAACAGCGCCAACCGCTTCCGCCAGGCCGAACTCATCTCGTTCGAGAGAGCTGGATCATCGTCCTAATTCCCCTGCAGCCGATGTTAGGGCACATAACAGCAGAGGCTTGGGGATTGAAGCCGAACCTGGTTCGCCAGGGCAAACTGTCCAACCTGCAAAGGAGGCGGTAACGAAGCTGAACCAGATAATATCGGTATGGGATCAACGCCTGGCTGGTGACCTCGTGGCTCGGTGATGAACCTCTGCTAATTTGTTCCTGTCATGTTTCAGAATTACCACACGAAAGCTGCCCTGATTATACTGCATTCGCGCATTGAGCTCCCACCTTCATTCAACAAGGGTTCCGACACCCCCAGAGTAAACCGTTGGGTACGTCTTATCCCTGTCGCCTGAGAATACACCCTACCCCAGATATAACCAAAACTTGTCTTTCATCTGCGATGTCTCTAATGCTTGGGCTGACCTAATACCTTTACGGCTTAGTTTAACGTTGAGATCGAAGATACAGATGTGCTGCGAGAACAGCTGCGCACCTGGAGAACCTGTGATGCTACCGACAATCGCCCGCCGCCTTTAATTATTGAAACATATCTCGATACAAAGGGACTCACAAATAATCAAACCCTTGTGGCTTTGGATGAA